GATATCCACCCTCACCCATTCCATACATTTTGCCTGCCTTGCTCACAATGAAATAAAACGTCAGAGATTAGGAAACTGAAGATTGCACCATAACATATGTTCACAATGGGGCTGGATAAAGGCACTACTATCAACACGGAAATTCCTGCCTTCACTTTGCAAACAAAATAGATTTTCAGACAGCATGCATACATTTTCATGCAGATTCAAGGAAGGAGAAGAGTAGGAATGGACATATTAACATACGTGTATGTTAGTAAGAATAAAGATACTGCAACAAACTCACTTAACATGTTTGAAGCCTCAGTATTTTCTGATCTCATGGTACTAAAATTAGAATAGGTTCATTTTATTAAGCTACATTGCACTTTGGCATAATCAAGGCAGTTTTATTTGCTAGCTATTTTTTGTGAAATACAATGTATTATGCCAAATTCAGTATCTAAAATACAAAAGTTTTCCCAAGACAAATACTGCAAAATTTCATTGTCTATTTGCATATCTGTCAGTATCTCTCACAACTTGAGTTCTTTCTCTAATTTCAATCAGACTTGACTGCAGAGTCAGTCCAATTCCTCTGAGATTCAGTCCCCAACCACAGGCTTCTGGTTTCTTTGATTCTTTCATGCTCTGAAGAGTAATTTTCTTTCCATCTAAAAAGCTGAAAAAGCAAGAGTTCTTGGCTCTTTCTTCCTATCCATCCACAGACCAGCAGCAGACTCTTCCCCAGTCATCACCAACTAGGAGCTTGGTAGAATTTCTTAGAAAGAAAAAGAGAAAAATATTTAAGAACAAGACACAAATAGGATCAAGGCTCTCTCCTGTATGTGTAGCAAATAGGAGGATGCAACAATGAGAGAAGTAGATTATCTTTAATGTTAAATTTGAAGAACAATTATATAGAGTAAACAAAGAATTGTACTTCAAAGACTGAACTTAGAATTGGATCCAAACTTTCCTGGAGTTCAGTGGGCTAGCTGTGGACCATCTAAGCCAGATCAGAAGCTCTTACCCTTCCCTGAGAAACTATGGATGATAAATAATCTGCTGGCCAGATTCAGAATTCAGATGTGTTATCACATAATGTCATGGCTTCAGCTGCTCGAATCTCTGCTGCGTGCAGTGCCACCAACACTAATGAAAGTAACTCTCCGCTCAGACTTTCCCACTTCCAATGCACATAAACATCACACTGAGTAAGTGCTCTAAATCTGAGCATGCAGAATATAGGAATCCTTTTAGTAACTATCAAAATGCCAGCACTCCAACACTTTTGGAGAGAAAGACAGCAACTGTTTTACAGTACATCTTAACATCCTGGAGCAGGAGATAACAAGTATCACAGCCAGATGAAACTGCAGGAGGGAGACTGAGTAAACTAAAATACTGCTGGCTGTGCAAACTGGGTGTAGTTTAACAACAAAGTTATCCTTTGGCCAAAAACTTCCTGTTTACATTTTAAGGAGAGAGTATCTCCAGCAGCTCCTAGGATAGTGCTTTTTCTGTAGTGCAGAGACAGTGTAGCAGCTACTGATCTCCACAGATATGCCGGCTGAAACCTGCTGTTTCTCCGGGGTTGTCTCCCACCTGACCACTGACTACTCCAATATCCTTCACTTAACACAGTTAGCCAGGCCAGCTCCCAGAGTGACTGCATGTTTGGCTAAGAGTCATTCGGCTGAGATTAAAAAAAAAAACAAAACCAAACCAACAAACCAACAAAAAACGAACAAGACCAAACACAACAAATCACAACAAAAACCACAACAAAAAATCCAGCAACAAGAAAAGCCATAAACCCCAGCAGTTTACAAACTCCAGAATAAAGCAAACCCCCTGCCGATTTGGGGCAGAGCGGTGGAGAGCCCGGGGCAGACGCGCTGCTCTGCCGGGCACCAGCTACAGTGCGCAGGGAAGGACAGTACCTGGATACAGCCAGCGCTGTCACTGCCGGGCTGGTCTTACTTGGTTTTCCGGTCAAGGCAAGACTGGGATTCAGTTCCCGACAGAGAACAAGATGTTTTCCGCACTTGTTACCTGTTGTGTGGTTTGAAAATAAATATTTAGAAAGTGTCTGGGGGCAGCATGGATAGGATTGTTATTATTTATGGTCAGCAAGTTGTTAAACTGAGAACAAATATATTTAATCTCAGCCTGTGCTGTTGCAAAATAGGCCCATCCCAATTTAATTTGTGGCTATGATAGTTACATGTGCTGACGTGCGGCTGTATCAATTGTGTGCTAAATTGGATTTGTGTATTATTGCTTTCTAAATTGCATGCCTAGTTCAGCAAAATTGTTCATCAGTTTTCACTGGTTCTATGCTTAATAAGATGCCCCACAATACCTTGCTGCCAGGATATAATACAGCCCATAATTGCCTAGTAAAAAGAAATTACATAAAGGCCTGGTATTATCAACTTATCTAAATCTGCTCATAACAGAACCAATAATTAAATGCTGAGAACATTTCACATACACACACATACATACACACACACACTTAACAACATAACTCAATCATGGTTACTTTGGTTTTTTTAATGACTGTGTTTTGTATTAATTTTATTTTCTTTAATGCATAGAATGAGATGTGGGAATATCTGGCCATTTAAAATAATTCTGAAGTCATCTGAATAGTTTAAGGGAGCATGTCACCACTTTTATTACACCTCTCAACTCTTTAATAAAGAATGCTGTTGCTGTATGCATCTGAGGACAGGCTCATGTGCAAACAGGTGTGTGTGTGTCTACACATGATCAGATGCTTGGGGCCAGTGCTCCTCTCTGAAAAAAAGACACAAACATCAACATTCTGCTGTCCTCCCACGGGCAGCTTTTAGGTCCTCATTTAGAAAACTGTTTAAGATATAAATTTTTAAAATAGCTAAAATTTCAGTTTGTTCAAAGACATGCCTGTGCAATTGTACCTGAGTAAATAGGACATGGAAATACTGGCCACAGGAAGTTCTGGACACAAACCTTGGAAATTCTTAATGCAACTTGGACATTTCTACATGTAAAAATAATCTGCAAAATTACTACAGAATACTAAAAGGATTTTGGAAATAATGTTAAGTCTTTTGCTTTGACTTACAGCAATCTGATTAGAGACCACAATTAAATGGATTATGTAGATACCACATCCAGACTATCTCACATCTGGCATCTCTGGTGTTCTTGAACCTTGCCTAGAAGCATCTGGCTCTAGCTACTCTGAGACATGACAAAAGGGAGGATAGGCATCTGGTCCAGCATTTTCAATATGCCTATGTATGTATAAATATTTTCACATAGCAATCTAAGTAATGTAGATGCCAAGTTCCATGAACAGCACTTCTGAACATCTCAGTGGTAATGCCCAGTTACTGTATAATATCTTTTTTATGCAAGTGTTACATCTATAGGTCTATATTTATGCAAATTGTGTACCTAAAATTGAAGTAATAGAGAATGTCTGTAACAAGGATCACAGCAAGTAAGTGGTGTAAATTATACATACTAACACCACAATTCCTTCTCTTAAAAAATGTGCTGTGAAGAGAAGCAAGCTGTGCTATTTAGGATGTACCTTTAAAGCTCCGTGGCAGGTTTCAGCTGCTGTATTTGTTAGAACACAGAAGTGAGCTTGAGTTGTTTTTAGTACCAGTCAGCACTGTAGCCCCATCATCTTATTAACCTCAGCTCTGTGAGAACTCCAGCGTATCAGCTCCATAGCCTTGAATAAACAGCTCCATGCACTAGGGCCTGCTGCTGGCCTCCTACCTGTTTGAAGGTCCTCTGACCTCATTTAGGGTGGCAAAGACAACAAACTTCCCTGTTCCATCCAGGGCAGGATCTGGCATTGCTCACTCTGACATTATGTCAGGACACTTTAGTACAAGCCATCAGCAGAGTTGCCAAGGGAATGGGCTTTCTGAAGCCAGGACAGTTCATTAGTTTCGTAAGTTTATGCAGAAAGGTGGTCAGTCAAACTTGATACCCTATGAAGAAGCTTTCAGCTTCATCCAGGCAGGATGTGCCCATGTGACTTGTGGCTCAGGGGTGCTCTCTGTCTCTAAGGTAGGGCAGTGGCTACCACTACTTCTACTGCTGGTTACAGTAACACTGCACCAGTTACCTGCACCATCTGCCCTTCACACCACTGTGCTCACACACCCTCTTCTTCACAAGCAAAGTCTGCAGCATAGTCACACCACGGTTCACAGCCCACCCTGTGGTCATACCCATGTTGCCTGGCTCTTCCATTGTGCCTCTCTGTGGTCTCAGTCCCGCAGCTTGATCTGGGGTATTAGTGTATTTGGTCTTCCACAGCTGTGACAACAAGAAGGTAAAAATGGGAAAAGCACAGATTGTAACAATGCAAAAAGAGAGAGATACAGCTGCCTGCTTCTCAGCAAGGGGTGGAAAGTGGAGTTCTAACTTCAGAACATGATTCCACAGTCATCTCTCCCTCTGCCACTGGGCTGCAGGGTGTCATACTGGAGAAATGTATGCAGGGATGTGGTGGGGTTCGAGGCTGACATGATAATGAGGATCCCACTAACCCAGGAAGCTCTCCCACCAGAAGAGAGGCAGAATCAGCAGCGAATTCCTGCTCCTGAGAAAGTATGGCTTGATAAACTGAGCCGTGAACCAACCCTCAGAAACCAGACTCAGACATATTTCTGATCAGCAATAATAATTCTGCTTTCAAAACCACACCAGAATGAAAAGCACATTTTCAAAAATTCTTCCTGAATGGCAAAGAGCTCTCCATTCAGGAGGATAAAAGTTGATAGGAAACAAACATTTTACTCTGATTTTCAGCTTCTGCCCTGTGCTGACCTGTTAAGGTGGCATGGACTTTTAGCAGCTCTGTCCCTCCATTTAGGATGCAAAATTCTGCCTTTGGTCTACAATGAATCAGGATTCCCTTTTCCTCTGTCCCATCCACCTACCCTCACCACTCCATCTGTGCTTCCTGTGATGATGATGCTGCGTGTGTCCCAGTCCATCACTTCAGCAAAGCAGCAGCAAATAATATGGCATTCAGGGCTGCAGGTGGTGTTAATGCTTGCAAGAAGCTGGCCATTGACTGTCCACAGATACAGGTAAGATCCAGCACAAGAGATAATATCACCCTGTAACAAAGCAAGAGGCAATGTTTCAAAATCCTACATTCATACTCCCTAAGGGCTGATTATAAATTACAGAGCTACTCTGACCTTTAGTTTGCTTCTGGGCAGATAATGTAAACCAGAGAAAGTAAAAATGACAGTTTTTTCTCATGAAAAAATTGACAATTTTACATCATAGAAACCCAAAATAACCATCTCAGATTTAGCAAGACAATGAAGAAACAAAAGGGTTTTAAATTTTAAAAATTAAAACATTTATTTAAACATTCCCTTTCTACTTTCTAGAAAATCCAGGCTTTTAGTAAAAAAGCAGACTGACAGACTGACCTAGCTACTGTCAGGGACAAGGACAATGACTAGCACAGGTTCTGGGCCAGGACTAGTGCCCTTAGCTTTTACAAATAAGCATGCTCTTAAACAAGGACATGGTGTTCACCTGCTTAGCTGGGAAGCCTTTGGTGATTTCACAATCCTCCTCTGCCCCTCACAGGGAGCTTAATGTCATCGCATTTTTAGACTGTGTTTTGCATTTGACCAACAACCAGCTCAGCATTCAGCGACCTGCACTTCTGATGCAGAAAACATCCTTTGCAACTGAATCTTTCCTCTCCCTTCCACGCAGGTGCATAGTCCTACCACAGACTGCACTTAAGGAGCAAATACACAGGTAATCCCTTAGGGGCAAGAAACACACAGAATGACGAGCCAATGCTGCAATTTGAAATTATCTTATCAAAAGTGCATTTTGATGAAGTTACTAACTGAAATTCCACCTGATCTTGCCACCCTTGATGAATACTAAGAATCAGCTAAATAAAACACCATCAGCAAAGTAATCTAATTCTGGCAAAGGCCTGTGTGCCCTTAAATTAGCAGCATGCATCTGGTTTAAATCAACTAACACCATATTTCACCCTTGCCTGATCTGGGGCCAGGGCTCTTCACACGGCAGGGCAGAATTCTGAAGGTAAAACAAGGATAGCGCATTCGAAACAGAGTTGCCAATAATTAAAGAGATTAAATTTCAGCTACCTTATCTGCATGAGAGTCCATAATGTCCAGGCAATTGGTAATGATCGACAGTGTTTTTCAGGTCTAGCCCAGGATTTAAAACTAACTGAAATCATTAGTTACAGCAAGCTTTTACAGTCGTCCTCAGCTTATTAAATTTTTGGGACAGCCTTTTCATTTTGTGTCTACGTGATACAAACACTATGAGATTTGGGTCTATAAATGGAGCTTCTAGAGGCTCAAGCAAATATAAAAACCAACAATCACCCAGCAAAGAGCTGTATAGGATTCTTATTTCACAGAAAAGTACATGGTTCAGAAATTTGTTTCCTTCAAAACTTTGCTTCAAATCACTCTGAATTTTCCAGGAATAAAACCTTGTCATCAAACATGTAATTTTGTGTCAATCAAAATATTTCATTTAGCACAATGAAAACATTTTGTTTCTATCTTCATGTTACAATATATAAATCTATATAGAAAATGTAAACAGGAACATATTTCAGAATTAAGCATCCTGTTCTGCTAACATCAAAAAGAATTTTTTCATCCACAACATATGGAACATTTAATCTTTTTTTCCTTGAAGTTTCAGTCATACTTCCCTGAGGTTTTTCCCATTTTAAACAAATCTTTCTGTGGACTATGGTCCAATCAGTTTAATCAGTTGCACTCCAACAAGCTGGAGAACTGTGCTTGGTTCAATCACCAGACTTTTCCTGGCACAGAGCACCTCATTTTGGAGAGCTCAGGAAGAGGAGCTACCAACTAAAACGTCTGCTGTCAATGATGGATTGGTACATAGAAAGGAGAGGACTCCATCCTCCTGGAGTCTCAAGCCCATGCTCTGTGCCAGCCACCCACTCATTTCTGAATGCTTGGCACTGCTTCAGCTGACTTCATAAGAGATTCCCAGGATATTCTGAACTGGCCTGCTGAAACCACTGGCCATTTTACACTAACCAGGACCCATGGGCCTGGCAGCTGAGCTGGCACTGAACAGACTACTTAATTCCCACTCTCAGTTACTAGCCATCAGATTTCATGGTTATTAAAGCTCTGATATGAGATGACTGTTTTGGCACAGATTAAATAGAGAATGTCTGCCTGTTTTCTTATTGCTATGAACTTAATTTTGTCTCTCTTGGTACAAGCTCTAGTACTGAATCCAACCTTGAATTGTCTGAGAAGGTAGAAACCTGCTCTAGTATCTTACTAGAGACAGAAAATACAAATGCGCAAGCAACATTTCTGGGAGGTAGAAGTTTGGGAAAAAATCTCAGTAAAATCCAGTATGGAATATTTTACTACCAACACACATGCAGTTCTATCTAGGCACAGACCACAACAGACTAATACCCGCTGCTCTCAAGAACTCCACACACACCTGAAAATAGAAGAGAAAACAAAAAGCCAACACTGTCACCACAAAGGTGTAAGGCAGTTGTCAGCTGAGGTGACAGACTGAGGTCTAACATGTCTCAGCTGACATTGCTCTGCTGCATGAATGTCAAGAGAAATTAATGAAATAATGGAGGTAATAAGGTTATGGGTGAGCCAAATCCAGGAGCTACTAGGGTAATACTTCATTCTCCGTAAACTAAAAGTTGTTTAATCCTGCATTCACCCATCCAAAGATGCCTCTACTTAGCAACTCAATCTAAGATGTTGCTTTTAGTGCTCGCCTCTCATCATTAAGAACACTATTAGCAATCTCTGTAGAAAGAAAAAAAATCAATGTATCAGACTCAGGATGTTTTTATGTTGGAAAGAGCACCCATTAAATTATCATGAAATGTTCATGGATACATCAGAAGAAAGATGATAAATGAAGATCTTACTGTTGAATTGTTGATGGCAACAGAACAGAGGCTTGCCCCATGGGCAGGAAGCTGGTTTCTGTACGTCAGCTGGTTCAGGTCCCAAATGATACAGGTTCTGTCATCAGATCCACTCACAAAGATGCTGTAGGTCACAGATGCAGCAAGGCAGGTCACTGCCTGAGTGTGCCCATATAAAGCCTGGTGGGGAAAAAGCAACCAAGAAACCACAGCAGAGGGTGACTGACTGACTAGGGAATCACAGTCCTACTGGCATTTGTTCAGTAAGAACAAGCAACCTAGTCATTCTTTGGAGAACTGAAAAGGGTATGAGGGGGAAATAGCAAAGCATCTTATAGAATCATCCTTGTCCTCAACTCGTGGTTGAGGAAAGTTGAGGATCCAAGAGATTATATAACTTGCCCCAAGTTGCACAATAACTCAGGGCCTTTGGCATACATTTCAGATTCTATGACAGTGCTTTTTGCTCAGCAACAAAACATCATTTGTCACTTCAGTCCATGCAGTTTTAAGTAAAATTTATGCTTGAAAATGACTATTTCTCAATATTTTAAAAACATTTGGAAATAAAACTTATCAGGATGTGTATCAGTGACCTTCTCAGTCTTATCTTTCTGGTTTTCTGAACAAGTACTAGTATTTTTCTGATTTTACTTAAGAAGAAAAACAGCATTTGGGGAGAAATTTTACTTTAAACCCCTATAGGAATTCCTTTCTCTTTCATCATTGCACAACATTCTTTTTTTGTTGTTATTTTAGAGGTTACAGAGACATAAGGAATGGCCAGTTTAATTAGCCTTATTTAAATAGTTTCATAAAAAAAGACTACACTTTAGGCAATTTCACAGCACAGACAGAAGTCATGGATTGAAGTATACCAATTACAATTGTTTAATGCAACATTCTCAAGTGACAGCGGTATACATTTCTGCTGCATAACCACCAATGACAGTAAAGCCTGCAGGATAACAGAGGAAAAAGCCCTTCACAGATTTCCTAAAAAGTCTTTCAGGGTTCAATTTTTAGCTCTCTTACTGTGAAAAATCAGATCCACCAGTTTTAATGTTGGTTTTAACAGTAAATGCATATTCCCTGCTGGCTTTCTCTACATGACATAATTAGCAAATCTTTAGTGTCTGTCCCAGTTCAGCATGGAGCAGGAGAGCCACATGTCCTGGATGATTTTTGCAAACACATCTCATACGCTTTTCCAGCGTGTGACTACAAAACTGAACCCTTGCTGGCTAACATGTGCTGCCACTTGCCAAGGTTACTAGGACAACAGTATTCAAACTAATCCACTGGTGAAGAAGCCAAGCTGCAGCAGGCTATGTGCTACTGAAGGTGACCTGCAACTGGGAGGAATGAATTTCAGCCTGTGATTGATTCCATTCACAAGAACTGTTGACTAAAAATACTGGCACAAAATGGGGTCTCCAACAGTGGGTTTCAGAGGTCAGAAACACTCTCAACTGAGCATAGAAAAGAAGGCTCAGCAACAGCTTTGGTCTGGCTGTAGAACAGGCTCTTTACAAAGGACTGGGCATAACCCAGTGCCTGTGCTAAAGAACTGCACAAGACCTCTGCAAAAAAGGGCTGGGACAAGGCATGTTTCAGGAGCTCCAAATTTCATCTCCTTCTTCCAAGGCAAAAAAGAAAATTGACTCACTGTTACAGCATCCAAACTGCCAAGTCAAGCCAAGCTAAGCTCCTGCACAAGTTTTAATAAAACCCCTTTTTTCTTGTATTAACCTTGAAAGATCCTACCTGGTAGTGAAGTGCTTTAAATAAAAGCTGAATGTGGAATAGAGGGCTATATCTTAGCCCAGTTATAATCCACCAGTGTCTCAATGCATGTTCATGAAAAAAAAGTCACATGCTTTTAGCTCTCTACCATCTTCTCATTATCACTTTGCAAAGACTGACAAATTTTCCCTTAATGGGAAATATCCTGCAGCATATCTGTAGAAAGAACTGTGAGGCCTATCTCCAGGGTAAATTCACAAGTATCAAAAGGCAAAAAAGACGACCAGCTTCACTGCAGGAATGCTTAGTTCATCAAAACTTTAACCAAGTTTGACCATCCAACTTAACTGGCTTGCATGGACACAGATACTTCACAGCTATGCTCAACACCTCCCTGAGAGGTGGGTGTGGCAAACAGCACAGGTTGCCTGGATGCTTCTCCTAGTCTAGTGTTTTATTTGGTGCAGAAATTCTGGGGGCTGGATCACATGGATTACTCTGCTCATGAACACTGAGAGAACTAGTAAATTGCATGGATCAATACTGAGGCTATTACACTCAATCTTTAGTGTTCCACAAAACTGTGGAAGCAGCCCCTGCTAGAGAGGGAAAAGTGACTTTTTCTGCTGAAATATTGTTTCTGTACTTTACTACATTCCAAACCAGAATGTGTCAGTCCCATGAGACAGCTGGTAAGTGAATAGCATCCACTTTATAGCACATCAGCTTTACTTAAGCAAAGCTCACTCTCTCAGGAAAGATGATACAATTTTTTTGTTCAGCAGAAAAAGCAGCCACCATGAAACAGTGAATTACATGAAAGCAGCAAGTAATTCACTGGAAGACATTTAGAACCATAGTTCAGATTTACATCTATGCCAGTCAGTCATCAAAAATGCCTCTGCTAGCAAAGAGAAGGAAGAAATACAGAATTTGTCATTGCATGACCTCATGCTACTTTCTGGACTTTGGGTAATACCAGATTAATCACAGAGGAGCACATCAGCAAAGCTGATTTTAGATAGTTAAAAGGGAAGGCATTATACTGGAGATAAAAGCCTGTTCAAACAGTTGCTTGAAACTCAAACTGATCCCCTGACTGGTATTATTTTGATGTTGATAAAGATTACTGTTTTTACTTCTCTCTACTATGTTTTATTTCATTTCTATGTCCATGTCCTAGTTTAGAATAACCAACTGGATTAAAAGGTCATCACTGAAGATCTGGTCTCATATTTCTGGCTTCTTCTCAAGCAGGAAACATCATAACATCAGACAGTTTCCCTCCTAATTTCAACACACAAGAATTCCATATGAATGAAGATCTAAATACTTCTCTGGAATCCCAACAGACATGGAAGTTTTCAGATCATTTAATGACAAATATATGTTTTGGCTTGGGGTACAGAATGCACTGAAATATCATCTGAATATCCCTCCAGAGCAAATAAACAGAAGAAGCTTCTAACACTTGGAGACCTTGCTGATCAGTGAGCCCTTTATTAGTTTGCCTAAAATTATCAGTGTTTTCTGTCTCTTGATTTCTGATGGAAAAAGGGGCCCATACTGCCTTTCAGATATGATAGAGGTGTACTGTAGCTTTATTGTAAAGCTGAGAACTCACCATAGCTGAACCACACAAGTTTTGCATGAGAATTTACTTTTGTAAATGAAATAGCACTTATACATCTGTTTGATGACTATAGATGAGTTCCAAATCAACTACCACTAAAGGACTCTGGACAATGAGGACACAAATGATATCATTCTTATTGGATGCATCCCTTCCTCATGGAGTGACATAAACCTTTTATGTTCTGAATTCAGGTTGAGAGAAAAGAATCAAGAACTTTGCCTAGCTGAGCCTTCATCTCCATCAGGTAGGTTTGCATGGTGTTTTGGAGATCCTGTCTGTTGCTGTAGCACCCAAAAAGAGTAATAAGCATCTCCAGATGATACTGATTTTGAAAATTATGCAAGGGTTGGCTGTACTTCAAGTGAGGAAAGCATACACCTTCTCTTCACTGTTTCTTTGATCATGATAAACTCTGGAAATGCTACCAAAGTGGAAAAAAAAGCCAAACAGAGTTCATAACTAGAACCTGCAGGTATAAGGTATATCAGCTCCTGACCTAATAACAAGTTGTCACATGATACTGCTGATTATTGGGTTTTTTCTGCCTTCTTGATTCACCCAAATGTGTTTCCTCTGCCTGTCATCTGAGAGAAAGAAACTAATCTTTTGGATTTCACTGTTTCTATAGCAAAAGAGCCACAGTACTGACCTGTCTCAAGTTTAGACATTTCACCTTGTCCTTGATCAAGGAAAATTCCCAGACGCACACAACCGAGCTTGTTCCAGATGTGATTATGGTAGTTGCTGAAGGACATACAGCGCAGAGGCACTTTCCCCAGTCTGCCATACACTCAAACGTAGTCATGTTCTGTACAGGAAAGAAGATTAAAGTCATATGCTCATCTGGTGATGCCACTGGCAGATTCCATTTTCAGAACTGAGCCTCCATTTCTTCAATTCCAGGAAAGAAAAGCTCATTTTAACCAGTCTATGCTCACAGCACAGCTGCACATGTACATGCACAGGCTTGTGACTGCATGCAGCTGTGCCATCCTCCAAGGGCCAAACAGGAAAGCTGGACAAAGGTCGGTGTCTTATGTCTTAGGAGACCTGAGTTCCAATCTCTCTGTTGCCACAGACTTCCTACATAACTTCAGGCAGCTCATTCAGCTACCATATAGTGACAGAATGCAAACATTCAATGTAGATTAAACAGAAAGCTCAGGAGGTGACAGCCACTGCTAACAGAGTTAGTGCCAGGCTCTGAAATCCTCCTCTTACTTGGATTGAAAAGTCAAAAGCCAAAGCACTAAATTCCGTTCTGTGCCAATGGCTCTGTTAGCAGCACCCAAACAAGCCTAAACCAAGTCAGGTCTATTACACATTGCTACAATTATAGCACAAACATCCTTCTGCTCACATTCTGCATTAGCTCTCTCCCACACAGCAGAGACAACACTATAGTACTAATGATTCTGGTGAAGCTGGGTGACACAGCTACAAAAAACTATACCACAGACAGAACAAACCTTTACCTACTTACAATGAGAACAAAAAATTTCTTTGAAATGTCCAGAGACACTGTTGGTGTGGAATGAACTCAAGTTGGACTCCCAACTACTTCTCACAGTGACTGTAATCACACTCACTACGCTCAGTGCCACTAGGCTCAGTGACAATCAACTTTCGAAGAGACAAAAGAGGTAATATAAACCTACAGCAGCATTATGAATTGCTAAGCACTGATTTGAAATCAAGGGAGAAAACTCTCAATAATTTTATACAAGGAACAGAAACTAAAACACATCTCATGGCTTTTCCACTTCCATTGACTGTGGGTATGTCTGTAAAAAAAAGATGTGGCTTGCACAAATACCCAAGTCAGTATCTTGCTGAATGATGTATTCTGCTATTCTGGTACCCAAGCTAACTCAGATGTCTTTTTGTATTGTAACATTGTTTCAAACACATCCAAAAATCAGTATGGCTGTGATAGAGGAAGAAACTAGATCTGTCAAGTGCTCTAACAAGTAGTGTGATGACACAGAACGTTGGGGGTTTTTTAACATCAAAGAAGTAAGACTATTAACTTTCCAGAATAGAAGATATTATTTTGAATGAATGAACTGGGCTAAGCTTGGGAGCAAGAAGGAAACTGACAGATGGTCCTATTTTAATTCCAGCAGAAAATTCTGCAAAATGAAATTTCTAATCAGTGGACAGAAAACCTTGTGTTGTCCTTACAACCTATGAAATGGGGTTTCCTCTTCATTTTGATGAACAACACAGGCACTGGAAGGAAAATATATAATTTATAAATTTCTCATTGATACAATTTGGTGGGGAAATGCCACATTTTTTTAGCAATGTAGAGTGACTTTTGGGATATCCAACTTGAGATTCATCAAGAAGTTTGACTGTAAGAAAGTCCTATACAGCATCCTCTGAAATCAGCTCCCCAGTATTCTCTGAAATGGGGGCCCAAACCAGTCAAAGTCCACAACATACCATTTCTGGAATTCTTAAATCTTACTTACCTTCTCAGACCCATAGTTGCCAAAGCAGCACGTGAAGTCCTCAAATCCCCAGCAGAATGTTTTGCTCCAAAGAGGAGGAATCAAAACTTTATTTTTTTCAACAGCCAGAATGCCTTTCTCAGTATGAACAATGTGCCCAATAGCTCCCTTGGGATAGTCTGACAAGACAGAGAAGATATTTAATTCTGTTGTTCTTAGAGCACTTATGTTAACTTTCCTCCTTGCACAGCCTGTGTGGTGAGGCTGGCAAGACCTACAGCTGGGCTCAGTGCTGTGGGCAGGCCCACAGACAGAAATCCACTCTACAACTGAGATTCCAGACAGGAGAGTGGAAACAGTCATCTCCAATAGAGCACATAAATCCATGCAGATGATGTGCTCCAAAGGAGGTGGTTTAACAGCAGTGCCATTAAGCTCCTTTTCATTGGCAGACTGCCTTATGCCATGCACTACAGAGGATGCTGGGCATGTCACCAACAGCCTCTGTAGTACTGCCATGGGACCCCACTGTCCCCACAGATGTGTGATATAAAGAACTCCACCATGTGATGAAAAAGTAGACACACTGAAATTTTCCAGGCTTCTTCATGGTAAGAAAAGTAGCAGACTAACAAAAAGATGAAGAAAAAGAAAAAATTTGAAGATCGACAAGTGGAGAAAGACAGTATTTACTTTTCTGTTGAATATAAAAAGAAAGAATGCAAATGGAAAACAGTGAGCTTTATGTTTCAATTTAACATATTCAGAATGCAGAAGAGAGAAGAGATTTAGGTGTCCTATAAAAAAAAAAAAATCTGTTCTGAACTCTACAACATAAGTTTCAAGATTTCTCCTGAGTATTTGTTTTCAATGCCCACTCACAATACACACGCACAAATAACAACTGGCAGAAGGAACCTTAAGTGTATCAATTCATACAAAGCTGTGCGACTATTATTGTGCTACTGAAAATCCATATTCACCCTATCCAAGAATTCTGTATTTATTAGCTCCGAAAATGGAGCACAGCCCCTGCAGCACCTTTTATTGTAACTGGTAAGAGTTTCAGATTTTGCAGGCTGCTCATAAAAGGAGGAAGAATTCCACTTGAGTGAAGGGACACCACAATCTCTCTTCCTGATGAACTTTTCCCTTGGGCATTCCTGGATGGATGTGGTTTTGAGAAGAGCTAGAACAAAGGAATGACATTGAAAAATGAATCTCTATTTGCCAATCATGCAGGAGACACATCTCTTTAGATCCTTAATCACAGACTTCAAGACTATTGTACATGAATCTCTTCATTAAAATAAAATCTTACCCTTAGTACATTTTCATTAGACTACATCCCTTCCTCACAGAGCTAATCCCAGCAATTCAGGAGAAGAAATAAAAGTAAAGGTGAGACTTTGAGCTGCTTTTATTTGGCTGTACCCATTGCCATACTAGTGGTTACTCATGTGACTGTACTGAAGGATCAGAAATCAGATTTGATGCCACAGCTGTATGGCATACAACAGGAACAGTGTGATTAGAAACTGGAATCATACACATGTGTATAGGGACATACTGATGTAGTACACAATCTGAAGTAGTCAATAGCCCGTCTTTCCGCAGATTTAAATCAGAAAATTTCTCTAAGTTTCTACTCTTTCTTTCCTGTTGAAATACTACAATATCAAAATAAATTATGCTCTCTACTCTCATGACAAAGTGGTACCTGCTTTGGTATCTGTCCAAAGTTGCTGATAAAACCCAGAATGGTGCTCTTAATCAGAGGATCTTTAATGTTATTGAGGTCCATCTTGTCTCCGTAGAAGTAAGGATGATAGGTGTTAACTGCCTCCACCGCAGCTGAGCCATGTTGCTTGTGGCCAAAAATCAGATCTATCCAGCGATGGAGGTGTGCACTAACATAGTCACTTTCCAGTGCCTGAAATTAATTCAGTAGAGTGTATCCATTACAAATGCATTACCACTTTCTAATCCCTGATAGAGACCTAAATTATGTGCAAGTGAGTCCTCACACTTTCAGTTCCTCCCGTACCACCATTCTCAGTATATCCTTATAAAATGTGACCGAAGATGAAAGGTGGATCCCCAAAGGAAAAGGAAGGGCAGAATGCAGCATGCTTAACTTAACAGACAGCAGGAGTAATATCCTCAGAGACAGCATACGCAGGTTCAGCAAAGCAAAGTGCAACCACACCACAGATATGGGCACATCCTTCAGCTTCCAGCACGCATTAAAGCCTGTGCTATCCTGTCTTCACCAATACTGTTATAAGAGGGTTTCAATAAGCAAAACATTTATTAGCATTTGGTACCACCACATTGCTCTATAGATAAGCCAAAGGTGAATTTGTATTTGTAGAAACACGCCTTAGTTATGAAGCACATGAGTAGCAGAATCTTTATTTGAGAAGATACATATAAACATAGATTGGAAAGGGAGATGACTAGCAGAGGGGCTTTAAATTGGGTCTGAAGGATACAGCAGGAGAGGCTGCATGCCATGAACCAGCCAAGAGAATGTAGAGCTTGTAGTGAAATGGCAAGGGATGCTGTAAGCCAAGACAGGGAAGGGGTTTTGCAATTGGGGTGCAGTGGGGCAGCTGTATGACAGAAGCTTCAAGACTTCCTGGGTTTGATCAACAAACATTTGCCACACTTGCAGGGCTTAAGCAAAGATAGTCACAGCACCAGATTTCCTCATCCTGGGAAATGCAGGGTCTGAACTTTTCTCCCCCAAATAATAAATGGTTAACTTTAATTAGATTTGCCACCC